TATTTAACAGGAACATAACCGACCCGATTTCCGAAATCTGGAATTTATTTTTTTATGATAGCTATATCCCTGAAATATGTATAGCATTACTTTAGAAGATTCCGAGATCGTGTTAAAGTTTAAGAAGTAAAAATAGAAATCTTGTGAGATGCTCACTGTCTCCCTATTCTATTTCGAGATAATATAACTGTTAGTTCCAGCTGTCTCTAATGGGACATTATAATAGGTATTTTCTTCTTAAAAATTTTCTATAGTAAATAGTAGAGTTTCACCGGAAGTTCCGGTTCCGGTTCCGGAAAGTTCCGGTGTTTTTTTTGGTTCCGGTTCCGGTTCCGGGAACCGGAACTGAAAATGGATCCGGTTCCGGTTCCGGCTCCGGTTTACAAATCGGTTCCGGGCAAACCGGAACTTTTTTACAACCCTAAAGATTGATTTTTTAAAAATATGGGCTGGCCTTCCCCGGCTGGCCTTGCAATATTCTCAAAATTTTCGCCTGCGGCGCTGAAAAAGAGAAATCTGGCTTCTTGTCGTTCCAAATTCTCAAAATTTTCGCCTGCGGCGCTGTTAAATGAAGTTGAATGAAGGTGGATTTTAAGTTACATCATGAGATTTCAACGGGCCATAGGTAATACCGAGGGATTTGGGTGTGATACTGAGAGATTGAGCTATGCAAGGTAGATATCAGGGACAGGAGCTGGGGATTTGGCCTTCATAACTTGGCATTTCTCACTTGCGTTTCCTAAATTCACAAAATTTTCGCCTGCGGCGCTAAAAAGGAAGGAAGAATAAATTATTTTTTAGAATATACATGGGTTAATGGGGATTTGGATGATATTGGGTGATTTCGTGTACCAAAATTTATAATGGTATATTGGTGATTTGATATCTGGTGGGATGAAGGATAATTGAAATTCGGGGATCAAAGGGGAAATCATATGCTATCGGGCATATCAGGGGATTTGGGTAGTTCGGTTTGGTTTTACAGTTCGGTTTTGGTTAAGAGAAAGTTCCGATCAGACATGCACGAAACGTTTCGTTTCGTTTCGTTGTTTCGTTAGTTTCGTTATGTTTTTTCATGTTTCGTCTCGTTTCGTGACGAAACACTTTTTAGTTTGTTTCGTTTCGTTTTGTTAACGAAACACCTCTGTTTCGTTAACGAAACAATACCCATTTTTAGACCAAAATATTACCCAAAACTGAAAAATTTTCCCCTTTGATGCTCAAAATTCAAAAAAAATTTTGCCTGCGGCGCTGAAATCTGGATTTTAAGCGCCTATGGCGCATAATTTACTATATTTTTCCTTGAATTTCTCGTTTGATTTTGTTTTTTTAATATGCAAATCTCGAATTCTATGCTAGATTAGGCATAGAATCGATCTAACTCTTAATGCCAATCAGGGCAGGCGCAAGAGTTTCAATATAGTTTAGTTTCAATAAACGAAAACGCAACTGATGGCAATGATCATGAATATGGTTATCTTTTTTCGGGCCTGTTTCTATCGAGTCGGGCCAGACGAGTCTTTTCGGGCCAAATATCTTAGGCCCGACTCGATCTTTTGGTCCGAGTCGGTCCATTTTGGCAACCCTAATCATGGGCGTTGTTATTAACAAAAATATCTGAGTTGAGAAATATCATTGGATTTGGCGGGAGCAATGGTGGTATAGGAAATTGGGAGAGAGTAAACGGGATATCGGTGGATTTGGAGGGTTTAAAAAATTTTAAAAAATGTCGAGAATCAGGAACGGGTTTAGGGGATAGTAATTTCCGAAAAAATTAATTCCCGATTTTAGGGAATCAGGAAACGGGTCGGCAGGTCCCTGATATACACATATTCTCAACACATAATTCGATTAAAGTCGATTTGGTGGAATTAAGGCTGATAAAGTGGATTATGAGTAGCCTGGGACCAAAATTTAAGGTCCCACTAAGCTATTAGATCAATTATAGGCCATAACTGGCCTATTAACGTGTCTAAAATCGAAAAATAAAGAAAATAAAACCGTTTTTATTAGATTTTTTGAAAATTAAAATGTTTCGTTTTGTTTCGTTTCGTTTCGCTAAATTTTTACTGTTTCGTCTCGTTTCGTTAACGAAACGATTTTTAAAAAATTTTGTTTCGTTTCGTTTCGTCTGAAAAAATTTTGGAGTTTCGTGCATGTCTGGTTCCGATTCGGTTAATCGTTTCGGTTAACAGAATAATTGGGGGAAACCGACAACCCTACTTTAAATTAAAATTAAAAAAAAATTTTTTTTAATTTTTTAAATTTGCTAGCAAATTTTTTTAAAGTTCCGGTTCCGGTTCCGGTTCCGGGCCGGAACTTAGAAGAGTTCCGGTTCCGGAAACCGGAACTCAAATAAGATCCGGTTCCGGTTCCGGTCAAAATTTCGGTTCCGGTGAAACACTAGTAAATAGTAGTTAATAAATTTTGAATAAACAAATCAAAATCTACCCGCATAAGTTGATGGTAAACAGAGGAATCTTTAAGTTCATCAATATAAATTTCAGGAATTTTTAACCCTTCATTTAATAATAATTCCAATAAAATTTCTTTATATTCTGTTAAATTGTTGTAATTTTCATAAAATTCAATTTTAAATTTTTCAAAAATAAGAAGATCACTAATAAATTTTTTTTTGCCAAAAAAATCATAAAAATAAAATTGAGAAATATTTTTAATTCGAAATTGAAGAGGAATTGTTTTGTCGTTTTCAAAAAGCAATTTAATCATTTCTGAATTAAATATAATTAAAAATTCAGCTTCTTCAAAAGAACAATTAAAAAGTTGTTCTAACCAAAAACGACAAAATTGCATTTGTTTAATATTTTTTGGATAAATTGGCAATTTTAATTTTATATTTTTGTCTAAATTTTAAATTAAAATAGAATTTTATACATAAAAAATTTTTTTTACTAAAATATAAACGAATAACAACAAAATCTTGAGTTGAATATTGAATGGTATTTGGAAGGAAAAACAACGGCATATTTTCATTTATTGCTGTCTGCCACTATATTTTTTTAAATTTATTTTTAATAATTTTTAAATTTTGTATTTAATAATTTTTCTTTTAATTATTCTAATAATATTGCATAGGGTTGTACCCCGAACGCTCAGAGGTGGATATGTCACGGTACAGGGTTTCCCAATTAGTTCAGGGCGGAGTTCGGGTCGGGGGAGTAAAATATGGTCAGGGTTCGGGTCGGGAGAGTAAAATATGGTCGGGTTTCTGGTCGGGGGAGTAAAATATGGTCAGGGTTCGGGTCGGGGGAGTAAAATATGGTCAGGGTTCGGGTCGGGGGAGTAAAATATGGTCAGGGTTCGGGTCGGGGTTTTCTGGGTTAAGGCAAAAAATTTTTAAAGAATAAATTTCGAAAAATAATATGCTTTTGGTCATATTTTCGTTAATTTATGGAAAAATTAGGGACGATAAGGAAGGATTACAAGATATAAGGGCCTTTGGAGTGAGTAAGGGATATTTGAAGTGAATAAAGTGTATATCTAAGGATATAAGATTTGGAGGGATTAAGGGTGGTTTCAAAAAATATCAGTGCTTTATAGGGAGATTTCACCTTCCCTAAAAGTTCATCATCTACTTGCATATAATCAGTCATATCAAAAATATTTTCTTCCAAATTTTGTTCTACTTTAATCTAAAAGATATTTAATTTATACAACCTAATATTCATTAAAATAACCATAGAAAGTATATAAAATTCTTCATTTGCCAATATCCATTTATTTCGATCAATTAATAAATTAAAATAATTATTTATTTGTTTAATGTTGAATAATTGATCAAAATTGAGAAATTTGAAAATATCAAGTTGTGCTTCGATGGGTAAATTTTTCATCATTTTTAATAAATATTTTAAAAAATTTTCGTTATAAAAATAAATTAAATTTAAAAATATAGATAAAAATCAAAATAATTTTTAAAAATAAAAAAAATTTAAACAAAAATTAGTAAATTTAATAAAATATAATTTTAAAAAAATTACAATACACTTCTATTTCATTAGAACAGACTAACTTAGCGCCAGCCAATTTTGATCAACTATTTGCCAATATCCATTTCAACCTAAGTGAATCGTATATTATTCTAAAGCACTCGATTTTTTCAACTAGATGGATCAGGTCTAATTGCTCATTAAAAACACCATATAGGTAATTGCAGCACCTGGTGGATCTTTTTAATGAGTTAACCCATCAGAAGGAAAAAATACAACTAATGGCTTTCGAATAATTCGAGATTTACTCAGATATGATCAAGGGCTGTAAAATTAAAAGTATCATTTCTAGTAAATTACAACTTTTATTTCAACAAAAAATCACACTGAATTTCTTTTAATTTCTATAGAACCCATAGTTCCATCACTATATTCAGTATAGTTTATATAAAACTTGATATTTTGATTAAAATTGTTAGAAAGTTTGTAGTTAACATAATAATTAAAGTTACTATTACAAACTTTCCTTCTTTCAATATTTTCGGCATTAATATTTAAATTAAGTGGCCAACGCATGTCGTTAAATGAAATTGAGTTTACCATATTTGTCAAATCTTTTGATGTTTGGATATACTAAATGAATTAATAGAGACTGTCAAGACAGAAAATTTTCCAATTATAATATTTAACTCAGAACTAATTTTTGGACCCGAAGGACAGATTATTTGTTTCGATTTTCGAGAAATAAAAAACTTTATCTCCATATTATTGTGCTCTATTTAATTTTGCAAAAAATCATAGTTAGTTAATTAAAATGAGTGTATCGCTGAGGCAGCTTCCCTCAGTTCTGTCTGCTTTTGAAATGATATCTTAGGATTACTCGATAAAAATTAAAAAAACGTTTATTGAATTAAGGGGCAGAATGTGTTTATAATTAAAGATATGGCTATCTTAAGAGATATTTTACAAGATAATTTTCTCGTAGGCCCTTCCCCCCAGTTCTGACTGCGTTTGAAATGATATCCGACATTATTTGATTTTCATAATGAACTATGATAATTTTCTTACCTTAATAATCATTTTAAAAATCGTTGGTTCTCCAATACTTTGACAATATACTTTTTTAAATTTGTTTCCTTCCTTTGTCAACAAATTAAATAAAATTTTTAAATTATCTTCCAAATTCCAAATTTTCAAAAAATCAATTATTAACCAATTCCCAACTTTCAAATAATTCAAAACAAAATTTAAAATATTTGGACAGCTACAATTATTTTTAAAATTAAATTGACAATTGTATAGAATATTAAATTGAAGTGGAATTTTTGAATCTTCAAATAATAATTTAATTAATTCTGGATTTATTAATTCAGAAAAATAAATAATTTCATAAGTACAGTTAAATAAATGTTCCAAACAATTTTGAATAAATAACATTTGTTCTATATTTGATGGATAATTTGGCATTTTTAAATAAGAATAACGATGGGTGTTGTTGCACGCTTTAGAAATTAATACAGTCAGAGGTAATTCTTGCGTTCGTACCCCCCTCCTTTTTCCTTCCTCAAAGTATTAAAAAATGGTCAGTCTGATATCAGATTATAGAACTCATCGAGCTGTGTCGAATGACACCAAAATCAACCCCCGGTCTTTCGAATGAGCTATTATTTGTTTAATCGAATTTTTATCCCAAAAAATCAGCTTGATCCCCCTATTATTTTTCGATTTTCCGGGGTCTGTATCTCGGCCCAAAGTTAAGACCGGGGGTTGATTTTGGTGTCATTCGACACAGCTCGATGAGTTCTATAATATAATCTGATATCAGACTGACCATTTTTTAATACTTTGAGGAAGGAAAAAGGAGGGGGGTACGAACGCAAGAATTACCCAATCAGACCTCTATAAGATATCTCCTTTGGTCTGACCCAAAGATTTTAATTATGTAATGCTCAATCCATCCCAGAAAATAGGAAAAGATTGGATGGGACACGCTCCCGAGCATAAATAGAAGGTCATAGGAAAATTGAGACGAATATCTCAAAAAAGATCTCTTTGCTCAAGATCTCGTTAATATCCGGTATCCACTGCTATCCAAATTTTAAAACATGTTTCTTAACTTGAGGTGTATGAGAAATAACTTGAGATGTATTCAAAATTTCCTAATCGTATGAAATTTAGTTTTAAACAATTCCTCTTATCGAGCTAAAGTGATTGGTAGCTAAATGGTTAAGGTCCAGAAATTTTCCACCTAGTTATGGGTTTGTGCCTACTTAACCGCACCTAGTTTGGCGTATCCCGTATGAGATATCTTATAATGGATCTGACTATATTAAAGAATAATTTAAAGAAACTACTTCTAGTTAAACAAAAAGCAAAAAATTTGATAGGTCTACGAAAATGCAAAAGTACTGGAATTTGGTTATTAATAGCAGATATCCACTGAAAATAATCAAAAATATATATTCCTTAATTAAGTTCAATTTATTTAACCTTTCTTTCAAGTTCAAAACTTGGAAATTTATTTAAAGATTTACATTTATTTACCATTAAAATTTTTTGGTTGTTTTGGAATGGAATGTGCTAAAAATAATTATTTTCAAGTTAAAAAATAAACTTCAAAATACTATAGAAAGCTGATTAAAATTTACACAAGGCAATAAAAATTTATGTTGATTAATTAATACATAAAAATATTTATTGGTTTGTTGAACAGAAAATAATTGATAATTATTTAAATATTTTAGAATATCTAGTTTTACTTCATTTGGTAAATCCTTCATTTTTTCTAAAGATAATTTTGTGATAGAGTTCGACCTTTTAGTTTCCGACCAGGGTGGACTTTTCTATCGCACTTATTTGTTAGAGTTGCTGGCCCGGTCCAGTCCGAAAGATTGAGTCGGGCATCGAATTTTGGCACGAAAAAGACTCGGTCGGACCAGCCCGATAAAAATGACTCGAACGTCGGCCCGAGTCGAAACGCTAACCCTAATCACACTAGCATATGGCGCAATTTCAAATAATTTTTCAGAGTCAAGGACATAAATTTAATTTTTAGCACTTCCAAAAAGTATTATCGTTGAACCCAGAAATATTTTTTTAAACCACAAAGGTCCTAATAATGTCTGAATATCCAGAAACAATATCCCAATTCCTTTCTTTAATTTTATGCAGAATATATTGAAAGGTTTGTAAAATGAAGGAAATTTCCTTTAAATATATTTTCTCGTCTTGTACTCAATAAAAAGGATGCCAAGCTGTTTACTTTCACAATAAAAAGCTAAATGACCCTCACACAATGGCACGAAAATAATTTTTCAGTAAATGGCGGGTAAGTGGAGGCAGAAAGAGGAAGGCAGAGTTCAGCTAAAGCAATTAATAAAAATTTTCTTGGTAAAATTATGTTAGTGTAAGTGTAATTTTCTGAGAATATTTTGGAGTAATATCCAATGATTTTTTTGGCATATTATTAGCTACGTATATACATAAGAAAGGTATTTTAAATTGAGAGTATCGTTAAATTGAGGGTAATTGAGGGTAACTTCACCATTGAACAACAAAATTTACAAATGTCTAGTACTTTAATTTAGAACAAGATTCGAATGTAGTACATATCCCCCCTTATTTTAATATTCATCCAAAGGAATGAAAATTAAAGTACAGTAAAGCGGTTGGTCCCGTTCCCCAGTGCCTCGTTGTTCAGTTGATGTTTTACGCAGAGTCGCGCATGCTTGCAATCATGTGTGAACTCCGCAGAGTATAGAAATAGGTGAATCGCACGCAGTGGGGGAATATAGGGAGACGTCTTCCCTACAAGGATGGATTGGCCGGCCGGCAACTCTGTTGAATGAATGAAGAAGTGATCTGCCTTTGCCTATTTCATTAAAGCTTATAAACACCAGCCTACTTACCAATGCTTTCCCAAGGATAAGTTAGTGGCGATTGTTAGCCTAGATAATGGGCGGCTAATAACTCTCTGGGAATGGCCGTTTGTAATATTCTTTGCACCTTCCTGCAAACTTCCGTTGACTAGAGCGACATTGCTCTTCACGTGTTTTTAGGATGATTTCCGCCTTACACCTCTAACCTTCCAATAGACCGTCCCTGGTCGTTAAGATTTGACCATCCTCTACACCTCTAACCGTCCAATGGACCGTCCCTGGTCCTCTTTTTATTTCATTTTATATTGCATGAATCCATCAGGATTTAAAATTTATTTAAATATTCATTTATTTTTGTTACATGTGAGAGTCCCGCAGGACTTATATTTTGAAACATAATTAATAATCTGGGCAACGTTAATAGAAAAAAATTTTTTTAATTTACCGATAATGAGGCTTGAAAATATAATTGATATAAGTAAAACTATATGAGAGTAGAATTAGTAAGAATAGTATAAATGATGGGATTCTAACAAAAAATTGCTCAGCAAAATTACTTTGCACCGCCAGAGAAGATCCCAGTGTAATTTCCGGTCTTGAAATTTACTATGGCTGTTATCAGTTTTTTCATAACATGAGAAGAAACACTTAGCGCATCAATATTTGATGCTCTTGGGTTGGTATTTAATTTGCGTGGAGAACCTTTTCAATAACCTGAGATATTGAAATGTCAATTTGTGCCTCAGGATATATTTCAATTCTCCTGATTGCGCCTCATTTTGTTTGATAGATTTTCAGTCGTTGTTTTGGACAGCCTTTTATTTAATTTATCTTTAATGAACCCCTCAGGGTTTATATTAAGCAGAAATTTTAAAGCGCTAGACGCAGCGCAGGATCGGAAGATTTAAATATTTTTTTTGTGGAAGGCGAAACAGAAAGCTCATATGGTTTTTGTTAAGATAAATTTTTTTTGCTAAATTAAAGCGGTAAGCGTAGTGCAGCATGAATAATTAAAAGAACTAAATTTTGTGAAATGAGCTAGTATTCTTTTGTTTTTCGGATTTTATTTTTGAGTTAATGAAAGAATTTGAATATTTAGACACATGGATCATGTACATACATATATCAATCGTATTATTTGCGTTAAATTTTGGCCTTTCTTAGCGATTGGCCATTCTATTTCCCTAGTTGTGTCTTCGCGTTTGCCCCTTCCAAAATTGAGTATCAAATTTTAGTATAGAAAATAGCACAGGGGAAGGAAGTGATTAAAATGAGCTAAACAAAAATGCATTACTGCGAGGAATGAAATATTATTTTCTGACCCATTGCCCCCTCAATTGATATGTTTTTAGGATATCTTTTTTTACGTACTATGTGTTTGTCAATGGTTAAAAATGTCAATTTGTCATAAAAGATTTGCGTTCATTTAATTTTAATTATTATTCAATTGAATTTAATTTTTTAATTAATTTAATTCAATTTAATTTTAATTATTATTCAATTAATTATTATTCAAACGAGGTTTTACTGTAGATATTTTCATTTGATTCGTCGTTTGTGTTTGCCTTCATTGAAGTGCGTTGATTATTGATTAGGCATAAAGGACTGAGCATTGGATTTGAGTTAGCGCATAACATTAGTTCTGCCTCTTGAGCATTTAGGAGTAGTGTGTCGAAATTCGACCTGTTAGGCCCAGTCAGTGTCCTTGTGAGGAATTGAAGATTTGGACTAAGCTTTTCAAGGAAAGTTCTGCAAAGTGTTTCTTCAGAGACATTTCCTTTGTTGTCACAAGTTGCTTCCATCATAGGAATTAATCTGGAAGCAAATTGCTCTACTGATTCTCCTTCATTTTGTTTGCATATGCTTAAAGCTTTGAAGATTAGTTCGCGATTTTGAGTTGTATCTAAACTATCTTTGATTTTGTTAATGGCTCCCTCAAGAGTTGATTTTTCAGCTTGGGGTATTTTGTCAAATATTTTTCTTGTTTTCCCGTCTAAGCATACTTTGAAACGGGCAATTTTGTCTGTTTCATCCCACTTACCATTGCATTCGATTATATCTTTGAATTTTCTAGACCAGCGTACAAACTCAATTACTGAGTTTCCCGAGTAAATTGTGAATGTGCGAACGTTTTCTGTCGAAAGCATACTAATATAATGGAATCCCTCAGGATTTCTCTTTAATTCACTAATGGCTCCCTCAGGAGTTTTGATTCAAATGTTATTGAATAATTCGAGAATAGAATTAATAATAAAAGATTTTTAAACCTGAAAATAAAATAATTAGAAAAAAATTATTTCAGGGAGCAAAGAGAAAACCAATGATGAAGGTATTAATGAGTGATAGGATATAAATGAGATTACAATCCTAAGATATCAGATTTTTTAAGTTTCAGCTTTCATATTGACTAATCTTTTATTTATAGAAGTGAGATGAATGAAGGTTTGTATAAGTAATATGATATCCAAAACATTCAGGAATATGTATGTAGCAGAAATTATTTACTGTGAATCAGGGCTGGGCGGAATAAAAAAATTTTTTTATCTCGTTCCGAAACGAAACGAAACGAAAGGGAAAAAATGGCACGAA